TTCCTTTCTATAATTTGAATCATAGCACCAGCTGCTCGGTTGAGCATTTAAACATTGAAATTTCTTAGTGTTTAGCGACTCAAAAAGGCCAAATATGCCAGATTGTTCCAGAAACGAAATTGTTGACATTCTGTTATCCCTCGGGGCATGTTAAGGCCAATATCGTGCTGCAGCAAGATATTACCGTCAAAATTACCCAGGGAGGCTTCGGTACCCAAACCACGTGAGAATCCGAATCATTAAACGAAGAGAGAGACGTCGACCACGACTATGCAGAAATCGACGTCGCATTATGAGACAGAACAACGATGACCCATGAATTCTCGTTGTTTTGGCAATGGTTGATTTGGATCATCATATCTCTTTGCGTGAAATTCAGAGACGTACTGGAATCCCAAGAACAACAGCCGGTAGAATTTTGCGGCTTCATAGATTTCATCCGTATCACATAACTTTGACTCAAGCTTTGATGCCAGATGAGCTCCGCCGTAGACTCGAATTCTGTAATTGGGCACAAGCAAGGATTCGTAAAGATCCTGAATTTTTCAGATACGTAATGTTTTCGGACGAAGCTACATTTCATAGTAATGGGCAACTCAATCGCCATAATAGTCATTATTGGTCTATCCAGAACCCTCATTGGGTACGTTATGTTGATAATCAGCATAGATGGAGCCTCTAGTTTGGTCCGGTATAATAAATGGTTATCTAATAAGACCTTATTCTTTCGATAGAAATGTCAACGGCGCGCAGCATATCTTAATTTCCTGCAGAATGAATTACCAGAATTATTCGAAGATGTGGACTTGGAAACAAGACGACGATTATGGCTTCAACAGAACGGTGCACCGTGTCATCGCTCACTAATAGTTCGTCACTTCTTGAAGCAACGATACCGAAGACGATGGATAGGCATTGGTAGTGACATTACTGTGTAGTGTCCAAGATCATCAGATTTAATAAGTCCAGATTTCTTTTTATGGGGCTATTTCAAAACTTGTTGTTGATGCACAGCAACCAACAACACGGCAAGATATGATGTAACGCATCATACAAGCTTGTAGAGCTATTCCGCGTTACGTTTTGTTGTCCACAGTTGAAAACTTCGAACGTAGAATTCAACACCGTATAAATTTGAACGGCGGTATTTTTGAACAATTGATGAGATAAATGTTTGTGTTACAGCCTTGACCATAACTCTATCTGTAGTAATCGTCTTTTCTTCATTGGCTGAGCATTCCCACCTAGCCTTAATTTGCTGGGTACTCAATACCTCGCCTTCATTGGCTGGGCATTCCCACCTTGTCTTCATTGGTTGGGTAATCTATACCTCGCCTTCATTGGCTGGGCATTCCCACCTTGCCTTAATTGGCTGGGTAATTAATACCTTGCCTTCATTTATAATTCTTGTTATTATTATTATTAACCTCACCCTTGCCCCCCTGGGTTAAGAGGGGGGGGGGGGGGGTTGACCGCACCCCACACATAATACCTTACCTGAAAGTAGAATTTTCCGCTCTTTCCGGATTCATGATAAAAAATGGGGGTTCTTATTAAAGAAAATCACTTGGTTATTTGGTTATTGGGGTTGTAGAGTGTTTTCTTCAACAATATTTTTGTGGTATATTTTCATATTTTTATATCTCTAGCTACTGTAATCGTGTCATGTCATATATTATTTATAACGAAAAGTATCATAAAAAGTTTTATTTTGAGCATCCTTTTCTCTAGTAATAAATAATGTTTGACAATTTTTAATGACCATTTTGGATACCTCTCACCGAGTACTTTAAGCCTTGCCAGTTAAAAAATGCATCGCTATAACAGCATAGTTTAAAAAAACAAAAAAACCAAAATTTTGCTAAAAAATTGATATTTCGATAATTTTATTTAAGGTCCAAAGGTCATTCCTAGTTAATACGACTATTTTTCTTGTAAACGTAATTCAATTGCATATCAAAAATAATTGTTTTTACGTGCCTATAATCGTTCTACCCAATGTTCGACGATTTTGAAAAAAAAAAAATCACGATTTAGTGCATTGTGCACTACATACGGTTTGTAAAACTAAAGTTTCAAAATAAAAAATGTCATAATTAAAAAGAGATATCGAGATGATTTTTTTTTCATTTTACAGCTTTTTTGATGTACTTTGAAGTAAAATTATTCCCTAATCATGCATATGAGTGCTAGGCCATTTAAAAATACAAGAAAAATGAATTTTTTTTCGAAAAATTTTACTATTTCGTTCGGCTTTTTTCCCTTATTCAAGGAAAGTGAAAAGTCAATATAAAAATAAAAACTAGAAGAAAAAACCCACATTTTTTTTGATCTTTCTAGACCCATTTCCGGCCGAGATATTCAGCTTTGAAAATGGAGTTTCAGTTTTTTAAAATAGAACATGAGATAAAAATCAAAAGCACAAATACAGATGCATAAAATGCACCAAAATTATACGTGTACTTCATTTTGGCAAGTTTTGGATGCATTAAAATAATGATTAGTTCCTAAAAAAGAATAATAACCTCTAAATATTCTTTTATACATAGAATACTAAACAGCAATGATTATATTCAAATATATTTTTTGATTAGGTTGATTCAAAGTTCATTACGACTCATTATCATAAAAATAGAAGAGGAGTCAATATTTTAATGACGTCATGCATCAAAGCGCTACATTTAATATGTATCAAAGAATATGTATGAAGACTTGTTTTTATTCGTTTTTGGGAGCTATTCAATATTTTAGTACATCCAAAACTTGCCAAAATGAAGCCCACATACAAAGATGATTGCAAAGATCTATATGTATGATGTATTATATGTATGCTTTCAGTTTTTAAATTATGTTTTTTGCGGAAAAACTGAAATTCCCTTTTCAAAGCTGAATATCTCTGCTAAAAATGAGTATAGAACAATCGTAAAATAGAAGAATGTAGGTTTTCTCTTTTAGATTTTACTTTTATAATGATTTTTCACTTTCCTTAATTTGGAGAAAAAAGCCGATTGATATAATAAAATTTTTTTAAAACAGTTCGTTTTTCTCGCGTTTTTTAACGGCTTTGCACTGATATGCCTGATTCGAGAATCTTTTTTCCTCAAAGTACATCAAAAAAACTGCAAAATGAAAGAAAAATCGCCATGATATCTTTTTTCAATCGTAAAATTTTTTTATTTTGTAACTTTTGTTTTACAAACCGTATATAGTGCGACGGGATTCCTCCATCACAAAAAAATGCGAAGTTCGAGGTCATCAATTAACAATATCTGGTACATACTGCTTACAAAAAACAAAATCACTACAGAGATGAATCTTTCTAATACATCAGACACTAAATTAAAAGAAGAAATTTTCGATGGAGTTCAAATACGCACTCTGCTAAATGATAATAACTTTGTTAATAAAATGTTTAAGGACGAAAAATGTGTTTGCTTAGTTTCAAAAATGTTATTAAGAACTTCTTAGATAACAAATAAAGGTAAAATTATAGAGGTATCGTAGGAAAATTACTGAAAAGTTAGATTGTTAAATGAATCTGAAGTTGCATTTATTTATTCTCATTTATATTACTTTTCTACTACTTTAGTAAGAAATAAAGTGAATGATTTCACCAGAATATAAAAGCAATAAAAACACGATATCAAGAAAAATAGTACAATCACATGATGGCCGATTTTTGCTGATGTCTAAAAAGAGAGATTGTTTTAAGAGGAAGAAAACGTAAATAAAATCTACTAAGATATTCTAAATCGAACAACACGCGGAAGAGTAAATCATTGTAAGTATAAAAATAAATCCACACTTAAGACATAAATCATACTAAAAAAGTATGTGTACTTGAAGTTTGTGAGCTTGGGATTCATGATGTCGTCTACTACATGTTTACACACGTTTCAGGTTTATATCTTCTACTATTCAAAATACGAGGGGTGTTCAAAAAGTAAGATGAATTTATGGTTTTCTCAAAAACTATTTATTTATTGGTCAAAATTTATGTTATCCCCTTTAAAGTAATGCCCGTTATATATAATACACTTATACTAGCGCTTTTTCCAATCATCGAAGTACTTTTGATAATCATTTTGAGGTATAGCTTTGAGTTCTTTCAGTGACGCAGTTTATATCTTCTCAATCGTTGAAAATCGATGTTCTTTCATGGGTTTCTTAAATTTTAGGAAAAGAAAAAAGTCACTATAACACATTTGAGAAAATCTTCATTTACTTTGTTCAACATCTCCTGAGCGATGATCATGCGACGGTTCTTTTGATCAAAATTAAGCAATTTTGGAACGTATTTCGTCGACACATGTATCATGCCTCAAACATTCGAAAGAATATCATGGCATGAGCTAACTGATTTGCCAACATCTTCTGTAATTTGTCTGATGGTAATTTGATGATTTTTTAACACAACTTCTTTCACTGCTTCAACGTTTTCATCTGTTGTTGATGTGCTGGGACGTCCAAGATAAGGTTCGTCTTCGACATTCTCTCGGCCTTCTTGGAACAGCTTATACCACTTATACACATTTTTCTTACTCAGAGTAGACTCACCCTATGCAATTGTCAACATTTCACCAATTATCCTTAAAGAACTACTTGACCAGCCAAAACACCCTGTAACCAGCCGATGAGAAAACCCACCAGTTTCACTCAAGAGTTGAAGTAAATGCTAATCCTACGGCAGGTTCACCTAAGAGTTTAATAAACTTAAGTTTAATAAACTTAGGGCGACAGGGTTATTAAGATCTTGGGTTAGCCTATAACTTGAAAAAAATGAAACTATATTCATTGAGACTCGATTCATTGATATACTCGCAGATCAGTGGTATTGAAAAGAGGGGGCGGGAAGAGAGAGAAAGAGAGAGAGAGAGAGAGAGGGAGAGAAACATAAAAAATGGCGTAAAGGCCCAAAAGATTGTTTTCGATAATTATGTAATTATGAATATATTTACAGTGCATGTAAAAGTCAATGTAATGATTTCATATAATGATACCTGTGGATTTCTGGTTCGATAGTGATCCTGAATTGTCTTCTTTATATCTCTTTCACTCATTTTTTTTGTTAAAAAAGTTTCTTTTAATTTCCAGAAAGGTTTTGTGTTATGAACACCTTCGTCCAACTTATTAATTTTAGAAATTACTGCTGAAAAGTAAAATTAATGTGTGTAGATATAGTTTTTTATAGTCAATTTGATCTTTGTGGTACTTAATAATATGAATTAATAAAACAAATTTAATAATACGTAGTAGATTTTTCGAAACACTCGTTGATTTTAATCATTAAATTAAATTCTAATTAGTTATATTTTGAGTTCTATAGGAAATTGTATTTTTAAATATAGGACAAGAAATTAAAAAAATTGATTTTTTTTTATAAAAAAATAACTTTTCAGATTAGAATCAAACATTTCTTTACATCTGACACTTTTTGTACCTATTCGATCACTGAGTGTATAGGAATTCGCCATTGTAAAAAAATATTACCATTCCTAAAATTAAAAATTTTATTAATCCGCTCAAGTAAGAAACTAATAAAATCATTTGTTGTACATATTTCTATTTTTCTAAAAAATCCGTATTTTCAGTATTTTCTTTATCCTGCAAATTATATGAACGTAATTGTATATATTGTAATATATTGTATTGTTACAAAACTAAATAACTTCGTATTTTGAAATATAGTGCAATTATCATAGTAATAATATTTTCCATATAAAAGATATAATAGATGTCTTATTTATGGTTGTAAAAATTGATAAATCATGCGAGAAAAAAAATCCATTAAAGAATTTATATATTAGCGGGATTTTCCAATAATTGTTTATCTGAGTTTCAAGCATTGTGTAACTCACATGAATAGAAAGAAAATATTATAAAAATAACTCATGATTCGACCAACAATTGAAGAAAGAATCTAATCTAATACTAAGAGTAAAAAATAGTGGCATATTGACAATACAACGTAGATAACTGAGTAAAAAATTCATAATTTTCATTTCAATCGATTTCTCTTTTATATGGTCGCTCAAGATTCTAGAAGATAATAAGCATCCCGATATATTTTCAGATGTATAACATGAGTAATATTGAATACTATATGATACAACGCATAAATTAGTCGGGTAAATATCGAACCGTCCGTGGTAATTCAAATGCGTATTCAGATCAAATGTGTATGTCAAGACAAGTTTTTAATCATCACCCAATAATTCTGCATAATACGGAAGGAAGATTCTTCAGCAGATAATCTTAAAATCTGAGGGCAAAATTTTTAGCAGATGCTCCATCAGCTGGTAAGTTAATTTAAGAATAATTGTTGATTTACCAAAGTAATATGAACGAAAACTACGGCTCCAATAGGATCAGAAACTAACTCAGAGAACTGGTATTGAGGCAATTATTCTATAGCGAACTCACCTCAAGCTTTCTTAAGCGAATTATCTGAGGTACACGGCTCAAAACAAAATAGTATCTGCAGGAAAGAAACTAATTTCTGCCTAATCATTCTGCTAAGAAATATGGAGTGTATTTTTAGAAATACTGTATGTTAACCTTTTCAGTCACGTAGTTCAATTTACTTCGTTATGAAAGTGATTATATACGTTTCCGATGTATTTTTCAACGCAAAATCCAAATCTGTTATTAAAATTAAAATACAAAATAAAAACAACCCAAAAGAACTAAAATGAGGTAAAACCTACCCTTTCAGTCATAAAATTCAAATTTGTTTATTGTAGATGTAAAAATGAAGTAATTTTAAATGTTCGATTTATGATTTCTATAGAGAAATTAATATTTTATTAATTCCTTAAATTAAAAATTTCATTAAAATTTTTCTGTAAAAATTTTAAATGTAATAATTGTAAAAAAAATTATAAATTAATAAATAAAAAAACTAATATTATGAACAAAGATGTAGTTTTTACTTTATTATTGGGGTTGATTTTGAATTATTTCATTTTTTATGTCGGATTCTGATTCAGTGTCAAAAAATACTAGGGGTCGTATACTCGCATTTCCAAAATAAAAATTAAATTGCGTGGCTGAAAGGATTATAATTCAATATTTTTCAACTTAGAAGTGCAAATATAATACGTTTATAACAATTATAAATTATTGTAAACTAACAAATAAGCATTATCGATTCAAAACAAGAATCTCTTATGAGGCTGATCTCAACGCTAGGAACGAGCTACAGAAGCAGCGAAGCAGGTAGAATAATGAGAATGTGCCTAAGTTATAGGCACGTATTTACGAAAGCACTGCGCGAGATAGATTTGGATGGATGATTGGGATAACCGATAGGCTGGACGAGCCTAGAGTCCGGGGCCGGAGAAAGCTGAAATCAAGAACGCAGAGCGAATCGACCAGCAAGATTGGTAACGGCAAGGATGATTCGTCACATTCGGACGAATATGAGACTAACTCAAGAGACCGACAGTTTATAGATACCAGCAATGGAGGGGTCCAGAACGCTCGGACCTACGCAGGCCGCGGCAATATATTAACGGCAAACCAATCATCGCGGTGACTGCCTTTCGCTTGTGAGGATTGAAATGGTCAGGAAGATTTAAACGCTGATAGATTCCTGGGGGTCGTAGTGCGGTTCTAGGCTTTCTATCACCTGGGAAATGACGAGGTATTGAAGACTATCGGAGTGGTACTGACGCAGTAAGCGGTTCTTTGATATAGAAATAATGATTAGAGTTGGGATAATTCAGACGAATTTTTTTCGGATTTCAATGAAGAATTTGGAAAGCATTTGAAAAGGACTGACCTATACCAGGAGTTGCGCTTGCGCACTTAGGCGGAAGGGGAGTCTCTGTGTGACTACCTAACTATCTTCTAGTGCATCATCCGACGGCTTGATAGGCCCCTATTGGATAGAAAGCAGGTAGTGATCTGTAAGGAGGGCTTACTCTCCACGTTCGATCGATTTTTATACTGGAAAAAGATCTCCTTGTGAGAGCTGAAATGACTAGGATGTAAATTCGAACGTTAGCTCAACTTTTAGCGGTAATTGTTACTCTTGCGCAGGTAAGGAGCATAGGAGCTCGTAATGTTCAAGCTGGAATAATCATGGAAGAGATAGACCACCGCCCACATGTTATCAGTGCAAGCATTTTACGAACGCGTGCCAGGTCGTGGCAGTGAGTATTCAAGTGTACGGTACCGTTGGTTTCGTCTTTCGGGATTTCCCTATGTATGCCGGTGGTATCGCTGTTCAGAAAAACTTGTAAGCGGGGGTCGACGAGTGGTCAGCTTAGGTTTGCCGAGGTGAGCTCGATATGCGCAAGAAATTCATCACGAATTGTTAGCACGGAAATCGTAGGCGATGCCAGCCTAGCGAGCGGGGGGCGAAAGTCTGAACCTGTCCAAGCTAAGTTTATATCCACAATCGAGCCGGTGATCAAGAATAGGTTCTATGATTGTCACAAGTATTAAAAGTTGCATTTCAATAAATGATGCCTTATTTTTCTAAAATTTTCGTAGTCAACAATATCGAAAAAAATGTAAGTAGAAGCAAAGCTTTGTAGGCGTTTTTTCAGCGTTAGAAAAATGTTAGACGATTTTTTATGCCAGATTTGGATTTGTAGTAGCAAATTGTATAAAATACTGTGCTTTGAAATTAATTTTGAAACGGTTAAGACTGGTAAAAGTAGAAAAAAATCGTAAAAATTTGGTTGTATCAGATTTCGAAGGTCATTTGCAGGTCATATAATACAACTATCGTCTTTATAGTATTTTTGTCGGATTTTATATTAGTCTCGGTTTCATTTGCTTTCCAGCTCATATTTTTGACTTCACTCAGAGCCGAGATATTTGATTTTTTCACACTCAAAAAAATGGTCCATAGTGGGCCGTCTATCTGCAAGCTCAATAAAGCCGAGGTGCTCGAAGTAAAATACCAGCTAGCTATCCCTATATATCAGTTAATATTATTATTATTATTATTATTATTATTATTATTAACCAGAGTATAGTACAAAATATTACAACAAGTAGTAATAATTATACAATTATACATTACAAATTTGTAACCCGGCAGAGGATAAACCTGTTCGCTGGTCTGGTATTATAAAACTACTAACACTTAAAGAAATTAAAGGAAAAAAAAAATTTAAAACTAAGAGACATTTTGTATAATAGTTTATAATATTTCACAAATGAAGTATGGCTTAATATTGGTAGCAAGAATGCTTCCTATAAAAGCTTACTTCACTAATATCTTCAATTGTGTTCTTCTATCTCCAATATCTGATTAACATTTGTCTGGCCGTTACAATTGTCGTCATTGATGCTTTATCAATCACATTTGCAATTGTTTCAATTATTTTTCTGTAGTTATCTGATACTTTCATTTTTTTCATGTTATATTCAGACATTCGACGATGAGAACGATTTTGATGAAGTGTACGAGTGCCTTGTGAACATAAATATGTCCTTACGTCCAAGAGAAACTTATCCTTATCCTCATCCACATGGACTTCCAATGCTGAATTTAGACTATCAAAGTTCCCTTGTTGCTTTAGTTTGTAATAGATTTGTTGTAAATTGTTGCAGTGTATTTTGTGGTTCATTGTATTCCTGTATCTAGTATCTAGTACGGATGGCCTTTGATCCATTTTTTTATTTTGTCCTTTATTGTTTTTATATTGCTATTTAAAGTTTTGAGGTGAGAAGGTAGTTGATTGAAGGTGGCTAAAGCTCTTGTATAGCTATCTTTAATGCTGATTGTTAATTTTCTTTTAAGGGGCTGTATAGTTTTTTTCCTTGTTACGGAATTTTTCTTTAGGAACATATCTTGCAGGTTGACATAGTGATACACTAGAGATTCCATGGTGAAATGTTTGATCTATGTTTAGTGGATTTTTTTCATTTATAAACTTGTTTTTATTTATTATTTGTAATAGTCGCGTTTGTAGTGTTTGTATATATTTGAGTCTTCCAATGTATGCTCCACCCCATGCTATAATACCATAGGTTGTTATGCTATGGAAAAGTGCATAGTAAATCATACGTAGATTATCTGTGCTCATTATCCTAGATAATTTGTGGAAAATATAAGTTAGATATTTTAGTCTATTGTATAGCATGTTTGTATGCAGGTCCCATCTCATATGGCTATCGAAATGCACTCCA